GCAGTGTATGTAGCATGAATGGGGAGAAGATGAATGCATATAGGATATTTTTGGGAAAGTCAGAAGGAAAGAAACAGTAGGAAGCCCAAGACATATGTGGGTCTATAATATTAAAATGGACTTTAGAGAGAAAGAATGGAATGGTATGGATTGAATTGATCTGGCTCAGGATAGGGACCAGTGAAGGGCTCCTCTGAGCAGGGTAATGAACCTGTGGGTTCCATAAAATGTTGGGAAGTTCTTGAGTAGCTGTACAACTGGTGGGTCCTCAAGAAATTCTCAGGTCCATGAAGTTAGTTTTTTTCATCTATTCCTCGCATAGAAGTAGTTATAATAGTCATGGATAAGGCCACCAGGTGGCAGTGAGGGTACCTGTGATCCAGTCAGCCCTGTAGTTTGGTCTTTGCGAAAAACAAATTTCCATTGTTGATGCACATATTGAGTGAATTGAAGATTTAATGTATAAATGTGAATCAGTTGAGAATTTTTCTATGGAAGCTGTTTCTAGAGATGGGAATTGTTTACTTTGAAGGTTTCTCCCATTCGGTCCATTTGAGATCATTCCGAATAATGCACTGCTGTGTGTCAATACAGCAGAAGATTACATATTTTATGTGAGGAAATACTGGAGTGTGTATTGGTAATTTTGAAATAATAGGTGTTAGTGCAATTTATAACATGTCTCTCAGCATTTATTTTGTATCTGAAGGCCAAACCACTCAACCATCAACTGTTATAGGTGGTAAAGTTGTGGCTGATGTATATGTATTTCTGTTGTGTAGCGGTGGACTGGACAGTGGCTATTATGTTGCTGAGTATGCCAGTTGAAGAAAAAAGAAAAGAGGTTAGGGAGTTCTGATGATTTTTTTTGTACGGGGTGGACTCAAAATATTTAATATAGATAGCTGCACTGCAGAATGCATATTGTTGTTTTGTCAAGTTAAATATCTTGATATAGTAGATCTACCTGTCTGCAGAATTCAGGTTTTTAAGATTAGTTATTTTTATGAAGTTTTTGTGTTCAACAGTTTCTCTATAAATTTTCATTAGGTCTTACATTAGCTTTAGTATTAAATCCGTGTGCCATAACAGGTGTTACTTTATGAGTTTCACTGTAGTTGTCAGCTGGGAAACTGTCAGTCCTGACTGAAGTGTTCAACACTGTTCCAAAGTCCCTCCACACCAGCTTGTGTCCTCCGGATCCAACCCATTTCGCCATTTATGATGACTCTGATATCTCTAGCATACTCACAGTTGACCTTCACTCTGAATTAGCCATTCTAGCTGTTGTGTTCTATGACCATTCTGTCACAGTAATCAGACTTCAGTAAATACTGTAGAAGGGACTAGAATTATTGGTCTTTGTTGAGCACTGAATACAAAATCACGTTTCATTGTGACTGTGTCATGTATCTCAAGTGCTAACTGGATTGCAGTGCAATAGGAAATGAAACCAAGATAGCAGAACAGATTGGTACAGAATATCCAATGTCCAATTTTTTATGATGTGTTAGTGCAACTTGTTTGCTGCAGCAAGACAAAGTACATTTGTTGTTACTTTGCCCAGATGGAATGATGTATTATAGTGTTTTCAGCTTGTGGACTGCAGACCACTATATTTCCATGTGTGGATTGTCTAGACTGTTCCTTGTGTTATTTTTTGTATACAGCTTTAGGAATAATATTTTACATCTAGTGATTTTATATTACTTTTTAACATAAAACTAATGTGTATTTAAATATTTCTATAGTCTTCTCTTTTGGTGTGACTAAGACATGTGATGAGGACAGGGACAGAGTTCTGGGGATGGTCATTTCATCCCTTTGAAATGGGATAGCAGAGCTATGTCATAAACCGTAGATACTAGGAAGAGAGACATATTTGTCTCCTTAAATTATTTTGTGTGCCCTTATGCATAATTTGACCGCCTCTGTGGTCTAGTGGCCAGAGTTCCTGGCTACAGATGCAGAGGTCTGGGTTCGATTCCTAGCGCTACCAGATTTTCTGAGTAGTGGGTCTGGAATGGGGTCCGCTGAGCCTTGTGAGGATAATTGAGGAGTTATTTCAAGGAAATAGTGGCTCTGGTGTAGAAAAACGAAATTAACGGCTGTGGGGATTTGTTGCACAGACCACACAACACCCTCTATCTGCTAAAGTTGGCACTAGCTTTGCTGACAAGCGGCAGTTACTCAGTCGGTATAGTTCACTTGCAGACTAAAACAATGGAGTTTGAATTTGTTTTTATGCATAATTTGTAATTGGGAACTATCAGTTTGAGTGGCTGCTGTGATTGTAAGATTGTATAATGGTGTTAAGCTTTATATTGTAAATAAATGTGTTTATGAATGGGGCCAGATTTACAGTAGTGGGGGCCCCAGGGCCAGCAAAGTGGAGACTGTATCTGTATTAACAAATCTAATTTATGACAGTCTGTCCCTCACCATTTCTAATGGTAACAAAATTAACAAACAAACTTTTCTGTGATTTTAGAGAGGCAGTCTCACTAAAATCCATGGAATCTGTCCAAGTCCGAGGCTTTGTGTTCATTTTTGTAACATACTTATTTTTTATGGTGAAAGCCTATGATTCGGTTAGGAGGGAAGTATCGTACAATATTCTGATAAGAGTTGGGATACCCATGAAACTAGTTAGGTTGATTAAAATGTGTTTAAACGAAACGTATAGTCAAGTCCATGTAGGTAAACATCCTCCGAAACGTCGGTTAACACCACATATACACGGTGCCAAATCCCAGAAGACTGCTTTCTTCATATGTCTGATAAATTTCCTATCCAGAATGGTCTAAAACAAGGAGATGCTTTATTGCCAATCCTTTTCAACGTTTCTTTAGAATATGCCATTAGGAAGGTCCAGGGAAACGAGGTGGGACTGAAATTAAACGGGACACATCAGCTGTTGGCCTATGCCGATGATGTGAATCTACTGGGTGACAGTGTAGATACCATAAAGAGAAACACACAAACTTTAATTGACGCAAGTAAAGAGGTTGGTCTAAAAGTAAACACTGAGAAAACTAAGTATATGTTGCTGTATCATCACCAAAATGCAGGGCAAAATCATGATATAAAGATAGGAAACAGATGTTTTGAAAATGTGGCACAATTCGGATATTTGGGAACAACGATAACAGATTGAAACCTGATTCAGGAGAAAATTAAGAGGTGACTGAATTCAGGTAATGCTTGGTACCATTCAGTCCAGAACCTTTTGTCTTCTCGTCTGCTGTCCAAGAACGTAAAACTTAGAATATACAAAACTATAATTTTGCCTGTGGTTCTGTATGGGTGTGAAACTTGGTCTCTGACATTAAGGGAGGAACATAGACTGAGTGTGTTTGAGAACAGGGTGTTGAGGAGAATATTTGGACTGAAGAGAGATGAAGTGACAGGAGGTTGGAGAAAACTGCTTAATGAGGAGCTCTATAACTTGTACTCTTCTCCAAGTATAATTAGAATGATCAAGTCAAGGAGGATGAGATGGGCAGGTCATGTAGCACGAATGGGGGAGACGAATGCATATAGGATATTGGTGGTAAAGCCAGAGGGAAGGAGACCACTGGGAAGACCAAGGTGTAGGTGGGTGGACAATATTAAAATGGATCTTAGAGAGATAGTATTGGATGGTATTGATTGGATTAATCTGGCTCAGGATAGGGACCAGTGGAGGGCTCTCGTGAACACGGTAATGAACCTTTGGGTTCCATAAAATGCTGGGAAATTCTTGAGTAGCTGCAGAATTGGCGGCTCCTCCAGAAGGGCTCAGCTCCATGAGTAAGTAAGTCTCACTAGAATCTATGGATTCTGTTTCTGATTTTTAGACAGTTAAATACACATACATTAATGAGACTCCCATTCCTAGGTAATAAACAGCTGTCTTACTGGTCCGTGGATCATACTGGTGTACTGGATAATTAAGGAGGTTAGAATCATATTCGTTTTTCATAGGGCAATTGAAAAATCCAATGACCTCATTGGGACTTGAACCCACAACCTTCTAGCTTGTAGCATAGTGCCTCCACCAATTATGCTACCGCATGCCCCCCTATCATAACAAGAAATAGTAATTTAACTTGCATAGCTCAAGCATAGCTGGATAGCCAGAGTGAGATCCAGAACTGTAAATTTCCCTTCCATCTAACACATGTTACACTGTAACTGTTTCTGACTGCCCTGAAGTAAAAAAGGTATCATATTTGGGTTTCAGAGGAATGTAAAGTGAAAATTGAGGACATTATTACTGACAACTGGAATGACTGTACATCATAAAGGGTCTGCTGAGTCCCATACCAAGCTGGAGTAGCTAGAATCAAGTTGTGATGATCCCCAGAAACTTGTAACAGAAAATCATTTTCGAGACTGGTGGGAGACTAGTATAAAACTGTGTGTGATTTCCATAGCAAATGGCAATAGGCATACATTGGAAAAGGTATTCTAAATGGTTCTGTGTGATACACTGGAAAGGGTTAATCACCACTCTAAATTCAGATTCAGTTTTTTGTGGATTGAGACAGAAGGTTGCTGATACAGGAGAAATAATTAAACCAGTGCTAGCAATTTGATGTAACTTCATAATAAGATTAGTGGCCAATGTATCCTGATAGTGAAAAACACTGCAAACTCACCACTTATAAGCGAAATTAATTAGACTGTGCAAAACTGAAAGAAGCAAGTATAATTAGTAAATCATTACAGTATTTAGTTTGACACTTTGGGTGCTTAATAATCTTATTGTGTGACAGATGTTTTAATTCCTGAATTTCAGAATCCATAATTTAAACTCCTTGATTACACAGGATATTCAGTTTTACCAACAGCGACTCTGTTACTTTCTTACATTTTGATGCATGTGATCTGTAATCCTGTGTGAAGTTTTACACATTACCAGAAGTTTAGCTATTTAACATATATCTTTACTTTAGCCAGGACAATAAAGTGTAGTGACTTAGAAAATAAAAATGTATGTTTATATTTCTTTCAAGGGAGTGCAGTCTTTGCAGAAATTGGTGATTCAGCTACACGAATCCCAAATTTTCAAGACCTCCACTTCGGTAACCTACCAGGCAACTTCTCAGTTCCTGGTAATCTCCCAGTGAATATCAGTAATGTTCCAACAATAGAGGAAGGACAGCGAATATTCGAAGAGAAATGTAAGAAAATGGGACATCCAGAAGCTTATGAGGCTGCTCAGGTATACACAAGAGTGGTTAAATGAATGAACCATTCCTTATTGCATTAAGCAAATATATACAGATTGTTAATGGCTGCCTATTCAGTTCAGAAATACAGGCAGAATATACATTAAGAGCATATTTGTATTCAGGGGCAGATTTTGATTTGTGAGAGACCTGTATTTGCCTTTAAAATTTTAAGAATGATAACTACTGCTAATTTATTCACACAGCTGACATAAATGAATAAGTATATTGTACTTGATCATTTTATGAAGAGTGGTTATTCAGGTGACAGACTTTTTTACTGTTGTAAGATTTGAGGTTTTCGNCATCACTTTCCACAAAACCCCATCATTAAATCCTATTGTGGGCCAGTTCAATCCATATTATATCTTCAAAACCTCTTTCTTTGTGGGTGTCAGTATCGTGCTATGTACTCCTCTCTACTGGATGGAGTCTTCCTGTCCTATCTTCCATCCAAAATCATGCATGCATCCCTTTTTTCTCGATATCTGTTTGATCCCTACTTCAATTTGAAGAGTAGGGCAAGAATAATCTTCAAGAGTTCTGTGAGAACCTCAAATCCTAGAACAATAATCGTTTATTTCACATTGTTCATGGTAACCTACTATGGAAGAAGCTATCTTCTTTGTTCTCCCATAAAGACAGGGTTTTACACTGTAATAAATATTTACACTTGCATAACTAACGAAGTTGACAAGTTCAAGATAAAGTTGCTGTGTAATGTATTTTGCTGGTATTTTGTGATTACATTGATGAAAGATAACAGAGTACTTGTAGGGGTTTCTCCCAATGTAATATTTAGCTGAGCTTTTCATCAGGCAGGAAGTGTATGTTTGTGGGTGGGGTGCATGATTCCCCTACCAAGACCTTTCTCATGTATTATGGCAGAATACCATATTGTTGATCCCTTTACATAGTCTTTTCACACAAGATGTCTGCAGATTTATGTGTAACTATCTCTGTGTATCTGAGCCCCTGTGAACTTTATAGCCACTTAGCTGGACAAGAAAATCCCTACTTTTTATAGAACCCTTTGAGTTTCATTACTATAAGGGAGGGTCAGTAAATAGATCACAAATGGAAGTAAAACAGCTGGTTGCAATAGATTTTCTGTGTGTATCACTAGGTATCAGCACAGTCCAGCATCATGACGGTCTAGGTAGCAGACGGGCATATGCATGTTCAGAAGCTGGTTTCAGTAATCAAAATGGTGACTGTGCTTGAAGAGAATACTACCAAAGAGCAGAAGCCTGTTGTGCATTTTCTGTGGGCAGAAGGATTCAATGCAAAGTTTATTCATAAAGAAATGTTTCCTATTTATGGTGGGAAGTGTTTGTCACATGAAGCAGTTCGCAGGTGTTGAGAAACATGGCAAAATGTTTCCCTTATAAGGAGGTTGAAATGGAAGTGCGGGAGTGGTTGAGACAACAGTCAAAAGACTTTTTGACACACCCTTAAGACAATGGGACAAGTGTATGAATATTGGTGGAGGATATATTGAGAAATAAATGTTTTTTCCAGGTTCAAATATCACATGTTTTGTGTTTTATATCCATTTTTGACCTATTTACTCACTCTTCCTTGTATGTTTATAAGAACCTGCCTCAAACTATTATGATGAATCTTTGATGTTAAATCCATGCAGTAATCTCACCTTACTGTAAGAAGTTTTCAGCTCAGCCTTTATATTGTAGCGTGTACAGCTGTTGCTATGCAACAACCATGATGTAAGTGAATAAACAGTGACTGTTTATAGGCAATGGCTTGGTAAACATGTTCCTGCAGCAATGAATATGCATGCAACAATAGAAGAACAGTGTTTTCTGTGTGGTCCATCTCAGCCACCAAAGCCAGCAGTTGTTATTAGAAGCCGCTACAAGGCAACGAGGAAGTGAAGATGTAGCAGACTCGGAAAACTTAGAATGTGCTGCAGTGACCTGTAGAGTGTGCACAACAGTGAAAGTGTTGTAACTGTTTGTAGTTATGAATATCGAGCATCCATTTAATTCAGTAATGAATCCAAACACTGTGTCTGGTCACCAACACTGGATAACTTGTGTCAGAAGTCCTTGTGAGGAAGTAAGAAAGAATTGATCTATTTAATTTCAAAGCTAGAAAAATAGGTGAAAAGAAAACAGACATGAATAATAACAAGTGCAGTCACTATCGCATTATGCATATTTTCTGAGGGAATTCTCAAAGAGGCATTATTCCTACCAGTCAAATCATCTGAACCAATTTTAGCGCCTGAACCATTTCCAGCATCCAAACCAATCTCAGACTCCAAGAAAATCCAAGTCGGAACCCTCGCCTAAGCAAACGAAATGGATTCCATACTGTCCTGGAAATTTCAACAAAGGAGCTTACCAGCAGACAACCAAAATTTATGACAGTTCTTGGCCTGCTGAGTTCCAGCCTTATCTGTATCCTTACTTTCTTGATCATGCATTATCTCATACATCACAAACATTGATGGGGCTGGCATAGTAAAGGCAAGTCAAAACAGAAGCTGTCACAGCTGAGGATGTTACAGGAAGGTAATAGGCTCATGCCAGAGTGGAAAACTATGCTGGCCTGAGTGAAAGATGAGGAAGACCATTGCTTTGCTCAGTTCCTTAAGGGAGTTGGATTCAGTGAATAAGATGATGAAGGTGAAAGACAAACACTGTGCCGAATTCCAGAATAAAATGGATTCACTGAAGATGCTGATGAATGTTCAGGGCCAACGGCATGCTCAATTGCAGAATGCTATGGATTCAGTGAAGAACATGATGAAGATGGGAAACAAATGCCATACTAAATTCCAGGATGAGATGGATTCAGTGGTGACATTGGAGAGAGAATGCTTTTGATGCCTATGAAACAGGTGGTACACTGTTCAGCATCCAAGCAGACTTCTGTCAGGATGAGGGAACCCAGGAAAACATGCCCTGTAGCTTCCACATCCACAGCTAAGAAGAAAAGTTCTGATCATCTAGGTCCAGGTTGGCCTGGTGCCACTTCCAAATGTCAAGGCAGTGACAACATGACAACATGAGGCATTAGCCTAGTGGAGGCCTTGTGAAGATGTATACATAGAACCACGAGCTAGACTTGAGCAACATGCAGGCCAAGATCAACATATGAAAGAAGACAATGCTGCTGGCAATGGCTACAAGAAGGTCTTGATAGAAGAAGCTGCAGGGCCAATGTGATGTTGTGGCACCAGTCACAAGAGCGATCAGAGATGTCACAAGCAGGCCCCTTCGAAATGCTTGTATAAGTAATGGTGGTACACTTGTATGCTGTTCGGGAAAAGCAGCCTTAAGGAGGGGGCAACAGGAGGAGTTGGAGAGTAGTCGAATTAAGGAGGGAGTAATGTGGCATGTAGACCAAATGACTGTGAAATAAGCAGTTATACAACGGCCGTTACTAGCAGTGGCCTGTAAATGGCAACAGAGGAACGGTGTTTCATGTGCAGTCTGCCGAGGCATTATAACCAGGACAGTTGGAGCAATGAGTTCAGTTGTGGGGTGTTAACCAGTTGGTAACTGCGTGACCACAGATGCTGAAGAAACTCCATTGTTAGGATTTTTTACCAGGAAATAATTAGTGAAAGCAGACTGAGAAGACTTATCGTGTAGTGATTTTTAGTGTGGAGATCAGTGATAGTCTTATAGTTATTTGTAGTTACAACCAGTAAGTGGTCAGTGAATCCAATTATGGAAAACCCCATCTATGGTCACTTGTACATGTGCCAATATAATATGACGAATTGAATGTAGGGGCATATGTTAAATGTTTTGTGGTATATTTTCTGAAATTATTCTTGCCATTTCTGTTGTTTTGAATATATGGGGAAAAGGTTGAATTGATTTCTGTGACGATTATAGTGAATTTCACCTTTAGCCATTTCAGGTTCACTATTAATAAGAGTCATCTGAAATTTGTACTGGCAGAAAGTTCTTGAAACACATATTCATATTCTAGTACATTCATCTGTCAGCGTTTTTTATGCCAGTGTCAAAAAATACTGGTTTTGTAGAGCTGAAGTAGATTGAGACAAATTTACTCTTGAGAAATGAGTCAGTGCTGTGTATCAGGTTTGGGAACTACAGTTTACTGCACATTAGATGATTTAACTAAATCTCATACATGAACTTTTGCGTTTTAAGTTTTGAACTAATAAAAATTTGGTTCTGCTGTAGTGTTTGCTCATACTTTATTTGTTGCAAATTTCAGTGTTTTGTAAAATTTATTTTCTGTTCATATTGCTGCAGGCTGCGAAAGATGATATTCAAGAATGTTTTAAGAGTATTGTAAATGTAACAGAGCTCCAAGCCGAGATGGAGACGGCCAAACCTACTGGCGATCTGGATGTCGTCTTCCGCAAATACTGCAGGTAGATTCTCTATAAATTACAGCTTCTAGTGATCTTGAAGTATTGAGGTGTTGGCATTTGGGAGAGAATAACGTTCAGAAATACTCCATACGCCATATAGTAGCATTGGCCTTTAAAGGTATTCATTACTGCCCTATTTGCTTCTACTCAAAATGATAAGATCAAGCTGGCAAAAGTGGTTTGTGTTTATGGCTGTAAATTGTGTTTTGTAATATACTAACTCAGATAATGATTTCATTAAGATTAATTTTGGAGCATCGTTAACGGCTGTGGGGATCCGTTACGATGACCACGTGACACCCTCTATCCGCTAAAGTTGGCACTAACTTCGCCGACAAGCGGCGGTCGCTCAGTCGGTATAGTTTGCTTGTGGACTACAGGCCACAGAATTTGTTGTTGTTTTTTTTTGCATACTTGAAATGTTTTCATTGGTTATGTTTACTTCTTCAGGCAAGATTTATGTGGGAAAAGTGGCAGGAGTGAGAAGCTGACCACAAACTTCCAGTGATATGTTCGGGAATATGTAGAGCTTTACCTCTTCTCACCCAAATGCCTTCATAGTGTAGTGCTTTGAGGCAGGGACAGCTTTACCTTAACTTAGATGTATGGCTTGCTAGTGTGGCACTGTGTCTGTAGTTAAGTGTTGATGAAATTAATGCCAAAGTAACAATTTTTACTAAGGTGAAGTACCTTTTATTCTTCCTCCAGTTGCCTTTGCAGAGTGAATGTACAGTGAAATCCGTATGATTAATGCCAAAGTAACAATTTTTACTAAGGTGAAGTACCTTTTATTCTTCCTCCAGTTGCCTGTGCAGAGTGAATGTACAGTGAAATCCCTATGATATGAACTTTTATTTAATGAAATCATTTAATCAACACATTCAGGGTTTTCATGTCTGAAATAAATACTTTCCATTATGTGTCTGATCAGTGCATATATATGCCACATGCCAAGCTGTGTACAGTATAAAGCTCATTGGCTTGTTAGGATGACTGACATATATGGATTCTCTGGAAGCTTGTCATTGTTCCATAATCATTATCTCATTTTGTTGGCTAAGCTTGGGTAACACTCACCCATCTATCTAAAAGCCAATTGCAAGGAAAAGAAACTTAGAAGATGGCAATAACCTGCAGGTATGTAGTGTGGCAGAAGAACAATTTTAAAGGGCGTTTTCAAAACTTCCTTGATCTTCATAATTCGTTTTGGAATTTGATCTAGATATCCAAATGTTCAGTTTGAAAATGAGAGTGAACATGATAATGTAATTCGTTTTGGAATTTGATCTAGATATCCAATGTTCAGTTTGAAAATGAGAGTGAAAGTGATAATGTAATTTTTTCCATTATGTAATTGAGGGCAAGATGATGAAGTTTTGTGTGGTCATGTCACAAAATATTCTGCATGGTTTCTGCAGTATGTAAAGTGCCATATTTAATTACAATTTTAATATAAACTACATATGAATGCAATTTATTTATACGTACTTATTTTGGCTTGTTTTGGACTTCATCCATCGTCTGATATGTAAAAGACAAAAGATTACGACGTTAGTCTCAATCACTGGATTGAGACTAGCTCTTTTTAACGGGCCCAACTGAGTAGGTTTATCCTTCCCCATCCACCTGAAGATGGAGACAGATTCAGTCTCCGAAACGTCATGGTCTTTTGTCTTTTACATACCAGACGATGGATGAAGTCCAAAACAAGCCAAAAGAAGTACAGTATACACCATCGTCAGAATTCTTTCAAGTCTAACAGTTTATTTAGTTGAGTGATTGTCGACCTGTAGATCAGATCCAATGAAATGTAGTGATTTCTTCAATAATATATATAAATTTCCCTTTATCTATCTTGCAGTCATTTTTAACAAAATCGAAACATAAGGATTGTATCCGGTGTAAAAATTTATAAAGCTCCTTGTCACACTTGTAATATTTTTAAATGTATGAAGCAAAATTTGCATATACTTGTCCATACAAGTTTCTGAAGGCAGAACGTCATGTGTCCTGGTGGCAGTGTATTCCTGAATTTAAAACAGACTAAAGTATGCACTAATTTAAAAATACTAGTCTTTTTACTATTTGGAGTGATATGTCTAGTTCCAAAAATAAACATATTCTTGGACTGAGAATTTTGAAATTATTTGGGTACTTTTTTTTTGTGGTTCATTTTACAATGCTGTTAGTATCTTCAGACCGCCTCTGTGTTCTAGTGGTCAGAGTTCCTGGCTACAGATCCCGAGGTCCCGGGTTCGATTCCCGGCGCTACCAGATTTTCTGAGAAGTAGTGGGCCTGGAGCGAGGTTCACTCAGCCTCGTGAGGATAATTGAGGATATTTTTCAAGGAAATAGCGGCTCCAGTCTAGAAAACTGAGATTAACGGCTGTGGGGATCCATTGCACTGACCCCGCAACACCCTCTATCCGCTGAAGTTGGCACTAACTTTGCCAACAAGCAATGGTCACTCAGTCGGTATAGTTCACTTGTGGACTACAGGCCACGGAGTTTGTTTTTGTTAGTATCTTTGTTAGTTAGTGTTGAATGGTAGAATGGTTGATGAATAATGAACAGGAAAGGATTTGGAAGGAAGTGGTTGCAGCCTCATTGAGGTACTATCCTGACATTACCTGGAGGGGATGAAGAAAACATAAGAGACTTCAGTAGAAAAGAAGTGACATTCTGCCCGAGATTTGAATGGAGCACCTCCAGAATACAAGTCTGTAGCATTACTGCTACACCAGCCTGCTCAGTACTTCAGTACTCTGTTATGATGCTTGTATACTGTGTCCCTTTGTCTCTTCTAAATCTGAATCACAGGCAAACATGAAACTTTTGACAGTTTTAAGATAACAAGAAAGGCTATTCATCAGTATTTTTAGCCTTTGCTAGTAATAGTTTTGGTTATGTACTTCTAACTTCGCTGACAAGCGGTGGTCGCTTGGTGGGTATAGTTTGCTTGCAGAGTAAAACCACGGAGTTTGTTTTTTGTTATGTACTTCATCTTCCTTTTCAGTTTTTATGGATTAGGCCCTCAAACTTGTTCCAATTCAGAATTAACGTTTAAAGCTGTGGATGTGACTGACAATTGGTGGGGCTTATTTGATGGCAGATTAGTGTATTCTGAGGTCTCTGCCTAGCCAGAACAATGCAGGAGAAAAATGTGGATTTCTTTGATAGCCCAAATTGGATTTTAATCTATGATCCCAGTGTCCAAACAATTGAAGATAGTTAATACCTTAGACTGTGAAGGCACTATGATCAGCTGAGTGATTTGTTTTGTTTCACATATTATATTGCAGGAAATCTCCACAGTTGAAGCAGTGTATCACTAATTTCACTGCCGTTGTTGAGCCATGCCTTGATGAGAAAGAGAAGGAGAACAAGCACCTAATCCAGAACATCACCGATTCAATACTTAAGTTTGTTTGTTTTAAAGAGGGTGACCGAATTGCTCGTAAGTAATTTGTTAACCCTTTGCAGTGAACCTTTGTACAGAACTTTTCTACTTCTAATTGACAGTACTCCTTTTCTTCTGATCTTGATAAATTTGAAGGTTGTGCGAGTATTTCTGTACCTGTTGTCTCTTTTTAGTTGAGGTGGTCATGTTCATTTGTCTGTCTCTGCAAGCATTATGAATCACCCAATATGTTGCAACATAAACTGAAGATGAAGTTTTACTTTCCACTCATCCATCACATCATCCTATTTGTTGTCCAGTCATGTGCATAGATCTACATTTTTCCATAATGTTCTGTGGTTGATAACACAGTTTTTTCTCACTTCACCTTGTTTGCACATGTCTTTTCCTATAAGATCAGATTTTCTGGATATCTGAGTTAAAGACTACTTATTTATATGGAGATTAAATGTGTTATTTCTTAGTACAAAATTCAGTTCTAATAATAGTATTTGGAAAGGAAGAGATAGATGCTTTGCTTACCAATTGTGGTGTCCCCTTTGCCCTCTAGTGTTTATTGCTGAGGGAGGTCCAGAGTGTCTTGATACCAATCAGGAAGCTATCCGGGATTGTGTCAACAAAACCATCACTAAGAATCTACCTACAGAGACTCTGTCAGTTGACAATTTGCCATCTCTGGAGTTTGGTGAAGAACAATGCAGGTAAAGCTTCCCTGACATCTTCTGTTGTGATCAGTATAGTGTGTTAATTAATTTTAATATGAAATTTGTTAACATTTTAATGAAATTCATTTAAGAAGGATGTCTTTGATATACTGTATGATCATGGTTTTGGGCATTTAAAGTTACATAAATTTTTGAATATATGACATTACTCTAACCACTGAGCACAAGAACAAATTTAAAATGAAGCAAATTTGGTTTGTTATCCACATCAGAAAAATTCTAGTTGGCAACGACTGTATTGCCAGCAGTTCTTTTGTTAACAAAAATGAAATCTAGTATCTATATTTATCGTAGATCATGTTAGAGCAAAGAAGATAGTTGCAACTTGATGAAACACTAGTATGAATGAATGTATCGAGGAGCCAGGATAGTGTAGTCGGCATAGTGACCACCTATGGGCTGGATGACCGAGGGATTGGAGTTTGAGTCCTGGTAGGGTCAAGAATTTTCTCATCTCCATGTCATCCAGACTGGCTCTGTGGTCCACCCAACCTCCTATCCAATGGGTACCAGGGGCTTTTTCCCTGGGGGTAAAGTGGCCGGGGCATGAAGCTGACCACCAACCTCCAGCTGGAGGTTGGTGGATGTATACATCCATTCTCCCATATGCCTTCATGGCGCAGTGCTTAGGGATGACTTTTACCTTCAACTTTTATGCCTTGTGCATTTATGTTCTTTTGGTGAAACAGGCCAGTTTCACAGAATCATGGACATCAGTGGTTTAATTTAGCTCATTAGAAATCATATTTACAGTAAAAAGATTAATCACATGCAGTCACAGAATTCATGTGACCATTCTTTACTTTCATCTTTGAATGAATTGCATTCATCTTCAGGGTTTTTCTACCCTGGAGATGGGGTTATGAAGTCTCTCTGAAACTCTGATATCCACCTACCAGACTAAATGACATAATACAGAAGGCTACAGTACCTCAAATCATATACATCCTACTTGCTTGGCACCTGTCATTGAAGTTCATGATGCAAGTTGAGATTAACATTCACAGAAGATAATGAACTGTAAGTTCTTACTGGACAAAATTAGTAGAGGAGTATCACCATTTTCTCATTTAGATATTTCCACTTTTGCTGCTGAGTTTTGCTTTCAACTTCATGCTTTGAATGTTGTCTCTAATAATGTAAATTCTTCTTAGTGAATATATGAACAATCCTGCTATGAAATTATCTTGTCATTACAAACTTATGCTGATACAGTAGTCACAACTGCTAATAAACTGCACCTATGTTCTGGAAATCATGCAACTGCAGTTGCTTTCATGTTGCTGTTCTTAATTTTTCTTCTGTTTGTTTACATACCAGTTAAAAATAAATATAACTTTCCTCCATTTGTGAGCAGATGGACTTAGTACTTAATGAGTGAATCCCAAAGTGTTTTCTGCAAAACCCAGGGATTCTATGTACATACTTCTTCAGTACTGATTTAGTTATGATTATGAGTCTGAAAGTAATTTTGTGTAAAAATTATACAGCTGAAGGCTTTTTCTGTTCCCAGATAATTCTGTTTCGTAGTCACCTGTGTCTAAAAGGGTTTTCTAGATTTCTGTAAGGGTGTGTGTTAAGCAGACTGTGTGCGGGTCGTGTGCACTGGAGAGTTCATGTTGAAATTTGAGCTCTGAGTATTTCCATGTGCATAATTTGTAATGTTTGCAGTAGTCAGTAAGACTGTACCATTGTGTCATTATAGAACATTTAAAACACATTTTTTGTAACTATCTTCTTACAGTTAATTAAAATACCTGTTCTTTGATTTGACATCAAGCTGAAATAGCTTAGTTGGTATAGTGACTAGGCTACAGGCTGGACAACTGAGGAGTTGGGGTTCGATTCTTGGTAGGGGCAAGAAATTTTTCTCTTCTCTATAATGTCCAGACTGGCTCTAGGGCCCACATAGTCTTCTATACAGTATATATTGGGGGTAAAGCAGCAGGAGCATGAAGCTGACCACTCATCTCCATCTAGTGCCGAGGTCAGGAATGATGGAGATATATTTCACTCCTGTGTATGTTTTCATGGCATGTTGCATAATTAATTAAGCCCAGGGATAAATTGTGAAACTTAAACATTCTCAGCATCCTTGATGAAGTAGTACCTGTAATCATGTTTACACACAGACACTGACATGGGAAATGTTTGTGCTTTTTGCAGAGATGTGGCAGAACTACAGGCTTGTGTTGTGAAAGTGCTGGAAACATGTACTGAACCTACTCCTGCAAATATTGTTGACAGTATGTTTAATTTTGTGCGCAAAATGACACCATGTGCCAAGTTCAAGTCTGATGATAGCAAACGTGCAGGTTTCTTAGGTGGTGCAAGCAGTGCAACCACTAGTACAGTTACAGGAATAACAATCTTAGCATCAATATTTCTTACTGCTGTTGCAAGAAAAGTACAGCATTAGGTACAAAAGTATCTTTTGTAAAGTAATTATGTGAAAGATTGGACTTCATTTAAGTACATTTTCAATATATAAATTTATAATACTGACAGTGTTCTGTCAACAATTCTAAATATCCATGAGGTGCTGCTGTATATCTTGTTAAGGAGATGAAGTTGGATGCAAAATGTGATCATAATACATCAAGTAATCAGTTTCTTATGTTAGTATTTATGATGATGTTCACACTTTACTTAAATCTAATAAAACAAGAAAAGTCTTAGAGGTGACAAGGAAAAGATACCTCTGGGATAGTATGAAGTATAGCTTCCTAGGGAAATAGTTAAAATAGTATTGGCATTTCTGCACATTTGATTGTATTAAATATTTCTTTTCTATCTGTACCTTCAACCAACTTCTGTCAGTGCTATATAATTCACAAGGTAATTGGTTTTGGTATTATAGACCCATATGATTGGTTTTATACCATAATAGTGTCCTTTAGTCCATACCTGCATCACACAAAAACGTCATTTACATTAGTCTCATGTTCCTTTTTTAATGCTAGGGATAGGTGGTAAGGGTTTTGGATATTAGAGCATGTGTTGGGTTGATGGTTTTGGAAACATTACATCATTCATCTGCTACAGAATTCAGGCCATCAAAAATTTCCAATGTTGTATACAAGAATACGTGTTTCTGTTAATAAGGGACATGCAATAAGCAATAAGCTCCACGAGAACATGATGCCTTATTTATGTATCTATTAATTTACAGTCTGCTATTTTAACATAATAGTGTTTGTTCTATATTTGTTTTACGTTTATATTTTCGTAGTGCTTGTCACCTTTGCATGCCATTATTTTTATTTCCCTCAACTTTATATAACATATTCTCTTTATTTTTGGCATTTATGTTCCTGAACAAAGACAATGGTGGAAAGTATTAGAAATAATGTAGCTCATAGTTTGATTGTAACCACTGTCAAAACATAAGAGCTCTCTACTTTCAGACTGAAAGAAGAAAGCTATTTCATCTGAATAAGTATATTTCAAGTTGAAATTGCTATTTTATGTGAGGAATAATTTGCAAAATTATTTTGTCACATGAAAATTATGTTGTTCTGGGATGTGACACCATGTAATATGGTAGAACATTACCACTGTTTCAGAGGAATATGCTGACTCCATCTTAATACCTGACAAAATTATAGGTGTCATGTTCCAGTAAACCATAATCTTCATATTCATTGTTACAAGAACCTCAGATCATACAGGCATTTTGGTCATAACACAACTGTTAACTTGCTGTTTTTTTTTTGGGGGGGGGATTAATCTGAATACAGTTGGATAATTAATGAAAATTTTAGTTACTTCTACAGTCTATATACTGGTCATAATAATATACTGCAGCATCCTGTTGCACATCACTGATTCAACTGTCTCATTTGCAACATGTCTTACTAAAATTTATTTAAAAGTTTCTCCACATCACACTACATGTTTCAACTGACATTTGTCATCATCAGGCATTTAAAATTGTTGATAAAAACTGCTGTACTTCTGTTTTGTAGTTTCAGTATTTGATATGTGATGGGTAATTATACCAATTGTGGTGTGTGTCTTTATTGCAAGTACACTCATAATAAAGGCACAACACAACAGGAAGAACTACCCATCACTGTGGGATACACAAGTACATAGATGGGGCCATGTATCAACTGCTAAAACTACAAAACAGAAGCACAGTAGTTTTCATCAACAATTTTTAAACGTCCAATGACGACTGATGTTGGTTGAAACATGTAGTGATATGGAGAAACTTTTAAATAAGTTTTAGAATGACGTGTTGCACATAAGACAGTTAACTGGTGACTTGAATAACTATATATTTGTACTATAACTTATCAGAGTTAAAAAGGGAATTGTATTCATTGTAAAGATAATGCTTTTAACTCTAATATTTCAGTTGTATACATAATGTAAATGTAAAAAGTAATGCATATTTTTGTGTCCTAAGAAACATCTGGAAAAGTTTTAACTTTATTCATTCTGGTCTGTCACACTAGTTAATTATTATAAAATGAATTGACAGCACCATCCAATGTGACTCAATATATATTTATGTAGTACCTTTACATGTTTTGGCCTTCTGAAAATGGTCACAACTGACTGAAACATGTAAAGGCGCTATATAAATATATACTGAGACACTGGATAGTGTTGTCAATTCATTTTATAATAAACATCTGGAAAATCATAACAGTTTTCCTTGAAACAGTTACAAATCACAAATGGAAAGTCTGCTAGAAAATTATGATCTTAATTTAAGCAAGAGCCCCATGACATTCCATACTCTAATCATATTATATTAATATATAACAGGGAATAAATGACCATCTGTATATTATGTACCAGTTCATATTTTTCCATTGTTGCTTACATCCAAAACATTGCGTGGCAGCTAAGACTGATGACCATATGTATTTATGTTATCATAAAATTATATAAAATTGTATACTACATAGCTTATGGAGTCTGAAGGATAAAGTATTGAATACAAATTAGAAGAAAACTTTCCATTTGGCATTATATAAGTCTTGTATCATACTTTGATTTGCTTCATGTTGCTTTTTCACTTCTCAGGCATTTTCAGTGGTCATGTTATGACTGACTTTGTGTTATTAGCATGAGAAGCAGTAAATTAAATATGAAACGTTATATATCTGCTTATGTTATTTTTTTTAATGTTGCTGAGAACCTACTGCCTCTACCTTCTGAATATAAGTGGAGAGAAACTGCACCAGGCTCCATACAATTCAACCAAACCCACTTTAATTTCACCCAGAAGATGTAGTAATTACCTTTACAATGTTGTTGGGGCTATGGGACTGAATATAGTCTAATATATAACAGGGAATAAATGACCATCTGTATATTATGTACCAGTTCATATTTTTCCATTGTTGCTTACATCCAAAACATTGCGTGGCAGCTAAGACTGATGACCATATGTATTTATGTTATCATAAAATTATATAAAATTGTATACTACATAGCTTATGGAGTCTGAAGGATAAAGTATTGAATAAAAATTAGAAGAAAACTTTCCATTTGGCATTATATAAGTCTTGTATCATACTTTGATTTGCTTCATGTTGCTTTTTCACTTCTCAGGCATTTTCAGTGGTCATGTTATGACTGACTTTGTGTTATTAGCATGAGAAGCAGTAAATTAAATATGAAACGTTATATATCTGCTTATGTTATTTTTTTTAATGTTGCTGAGAACCTACTGCCTCTACCTTCTGAATATAAGTGGAGAGAAACTGCACCAGGCTCCATACAATTCAACCAAACCCACTTTAATTTCACCCAGAAGATGTAGTAATTACCTTTACAATGTTGTTGGGGCTATGGGACTGAATATAGTCATTTTCTTTTTGCATTTGTGCATTCTATTTGAGTTTAATTACTATTTTAATTATAATTTGTGAATATGATCATGTCATTAACATTTCTAATTTTGTATTTTTAAAAACATTATTAATTCTTCTTTAAAGGAAATATTCATAATTTTAACATATAAATTTATGTAAAAGAGAACTATTGGGTGGTTAATAGAGAATCAATTGTAAGTGTACTCAAAAATAAATTCTATTCACTTCTCACATGGATCATTGAATTTTAAAATTCTCACATAATCATTTGCAGTACAGAAGGAAAAGAGCATTTCTGAAGAACTATGCACATATTTTTGGCTCTGCATACACACAATCCAGTCATGTTTAAGTGCTTAACTGTAGCATCTAATATTGAAAAAATAAATGTTTTAAAGAAGCTCTAAGTAAACATTTGCCATGAAGATTATGTTTGCATATGGCAGACTGACAGAATTAGTATTACCTGCAACAAGCATGTACAGCATCTTGTCATCTTACTGCGTATCATTTCATGCAGTATTGTTATGATTTTATAGTCTAGATGCAGCTACTCAAAATCTCAAAAGAGCTTATTCATCCAGATCCTGTGGTCATGAATATTTGGGAAAAGAAAGAAGAAAATTAGCATTATTATTATTTATTATTATTGGAGGGGGTGGGTTTCCCCATGCACCGCGACCAGTTTGATCTATTGTACGTCCCCATTTTGATATTCTACCAGTCTCTATACCCTACCGGTACTGGTACGTGCCATCAGCCCCGACTCAGCCAGTGAGTTCGGCCTCTACTGGCTCAGCGGTACCTTTGATGCTTCCCCCATCTACCAGAGGTGTTAGAAACTACTGTTGGGCAGGAAGTGTCCTTCAGTTTGGCTCAGAGGTCTTGAGACATGAGGTTCTTTTACGTGCCATAAAGCTACGACACGGGACCCACGGCTTAAAGTCCCTCCCAGAGGACTTGTTCCCTGAATTTTTCCGCCCTTAAAAATTCCATGACCTCTGCCGGGTTTCAACCCGTGTACCTTGAGTCATGAGGTGGGAACGTTACCCCTAGACTATGGAGGCCGCTCACAAATTAGCATCCTAGATCACAGAAAGGCTCAAAAAGAGAATTTTTAATCATTTCTTTCAGAAAATACCCATGCTATTTATCTAATATGATCATGTCAACATTCTTATTTACATATGATACTGACATATAGTTCGGTCATTTTGTGATATTAATCTCATAAATATTTTAAGAAATTTTAATTTGGAGAGGTCCTCTCAACATTGATCCCTTTCAGTTGTGACTTCAGCAGCAGCTGCTAAATGTGCCCATACACTTTTATCATACTTGCATGCAAGTCAAGTCTGTTCAGCATAAATTCAAGATCCATATTTTTGTCTCTCCCAAATTTACTTAAAGGATGATTATACAAAAATAAAATTTTACAAAAACTACTGTGACAAATTATCTAACAGTTACAAGGTTATTTTCAAGAAGCAACTAAACTAAGTAAATAATAATTGTATTATATTAGCACTGTCACGTATAATTTGTATATATGTTGCTGAAAAGTGCATTTACACAAATTCACTCATACAGACTGAAACTGGCAGTAATGTTTTTGGTGGAAAGGGATGTAGCATGTGCTAGATGAAAGTGACAGGAGCATAACAGGAAAGGATACAGTTTGGTTTCTTTTGTGTAAAGATTATAGTAACAGTAATCTTCTGGATATTTTTGCAGCATTTCAGGCATTGAGTGCTTGTTATCAGTGCATTCTAGTCTGATGAATTAAAAACTCAGAAAAAAGGTCAAAAGTTCATCATTTGGACAACTTGATGTGAATACATACATTTCACCTGAACAAAGTATTCTCTTGACTGAGTGTTAAATGACAGGCCAAAAAAAAGCTTCCCATGAACCAGTAAAGAATGTGCTGGCAGTGCAGAATGCCCAAATGGAATGATTAAAGAGAATTATAGACATACAGCAGTTCTAGTGAATGTACATATTTAATGATACATAAATATGCTGCTAGAAATCCATGTAACTACTGTTCATGGGTGCTCTGAATTTGAACTCGCTGCTCAAACTACTCTTATCCGTTCAGGTAGCAGAGGGTACATTCTTTCTCGGTGTCATTGCTGCTGCTGTTACTGTTCTTATAGAAATGGACTATGAAATAAATGCAAAGGAATTCAGCAGTTTCACCAGTTAATAAGAAGATTTATGCCCCAGTTTAAGAATTTTGTAAGATCATTAACCATCAGATAGATGCTGGCAGCTACTGGCTTGTCCAGATTCACACATATTATTATTTCCTATATAATTGTCTTCAGATTTATTTTCATTTCTAATAAAAAATATGAAGGTAAGTTACAAATGGATATAGAACTTAAA